GTCCTCGCCGCCGCTGCCGTCGCGGTCGTCTGGGGCCTGCATGGCCGCCGCGCCCGGCTCCCCAGAGCCCACCGCGAAGCCGCCCGCACTCTCCGCTAGCGGCTCAGACGCTCAGAGCCTTCACGAAGCTCCGCCCCTCCGCGCGCAAGGCAGCTGGGAGTGCCCACGGCGCCTGCGCAGACTGCCCCGCACAGGGCTGGTTCCCGCCAACGCGGGCTCGCTGTGGTGGCGGAGATTTCCGGATCTAGCCGACCTTGAGGAGGTGGAGCCTAGTTCAGGAAGCTCCGCCTCTCGGTGCTTGACGTCACTTGGGCTCCCTGGCCGGCAGGCACCATCCCCCGCCGCCCCCCGCAGAGCCTTCTCGTGAGGCCGCTGGCACGTGACTACCTCCCTTGATTAACCTTCTCACTGTTTTCCGCAGTAGCTGCACCAGCTAGCAATCGCACCCAGGGCGCACAAAGTTGCCTTTTTGTCTACATCCTCGCCAATACTTGTTATTTCTTGTGTTTTTGCTTTTAGACATTCTGACAGGTGTGAGGCGGTATCTCATCGTTTTGATTGGCATTTCCCTGATGCCCAGTGATGTTGAACATCTTTTCATTTGTCTATTGGCCATCTGTATATCTTCTTTGCAAATATGTCTATTCATGTCATCTGCCCATTCGTAAAAACTGGATTATTTATTATTTTGGTGTTGAGTTGTATAGCTTCTTTTTATATTTTGAATATTAACTCCTTATTGGACACATCAGTGGCAAATACCTTCTCTCCATTTGTAGGTTGTCTTTTTGTTTTGTTGATGGTTTCCTTCGCTATGCAAAAGCTTTTTATCTTGGTGTAGTCCCAGTAGTTTAATTTTGCTTTTGGTGGATTTATTCCCAGGGTGCAAGGATGATTCACTATTCATAAATCAATCAATGTGGTACGTCACATTAGCAAGAGAAAGGATAAAAACCGTATGATCACTCTCATAGATGCAGGAAAAGCATTTGACAAACTACAACATTCAGTCACAATAAAAACGCTCAACAAGGGTTTAGAGGGAACATACCTCAACATCATAAAGCCTCCACCAAAAAACTAAAACTGATAAAGGAATTCAGTAAAGTCATAGTATATAAAATTAATATACAGAAATCCCTTGCATTTCTATACACTAGTAATGAAGTGGCAGAAAGAGAAATTAAGAAAACAATCCCATTTACAATTGCACCAGAAAGAATAGAATACCTAGGAATAAACTTAACCAAGGAGGTGAAAGACTCGTACTCTGAAAACTATAAAACACTGATGAAAGGAATTGAAGATGACACAAACAAATGGAAAGCTAGTCCATCCATGCTCATGGATTGGGAGAACCAGTATTGTTAAAATGTCCATACTACCCCAAACAACCTACAGATTTAATGCAATCCCTATCAAAATAGCATTGCATTTCTCACATAACTGAACAAATAATCCTAAAACTTTATGGAACTATAAAAGACTCCGAGGAGCCAAAGCAATCTTGAAAAAGAAGAACAAACCTGGAGATACCACAGTCCCAGATTTTAAGATATACTACAAAGATGTAGTGATCAAAACAGTATGGTACTGATATAAAAATGGACATGTAGATCAATAGAACAGAATAGAGTGTTCAGAAATAAACCCATGAAATTATGGTCAATTAATCTATGACAAAGGAGGTAGGAATATCCAATGAGGAAAAGACGTTCCCTTCAACAAATGGTGCTTGGAAAACTGGACAGCTGCATGCAACTGAATGAAATTGGACCACTTTCTTCCCGTGTCCTCACGGACACTAAATTTCAAACTCCTAAGTGACTGGATTCACCCCAAAGCATCAGGCATGTGCCAGCTTCACTGTGAAGGAGTGCAGCCTGGATTTAACTTGACAAATGTCTGGCACACGGGAGTCACTCAGGAGTGTTGGTTGAATGAGAAAATGAAAGTGATAACAGCAGAAATTCTGGGCTGAGGCTGAACTGGACACCTGCCATCTCCTCCCACTTGAAGGGTTGGAGAAGACAAGGCATCTTTGTTCAGAAGTGAAGTTGCTGTGACCAAGCCAGACCTTTCTCCAGCTGGGGAGAATAGGAATATGAGAATGATGTTGTGACATCTACTAATGAAATTCATAACATTAGCTGGTGAAAGGAGAGACACTATTCTATACATTTAAAGGATGCTGAAATAGCACTTTTAAATCCAATGTCCCCACCTGACCCTGAAAACCCTTGGTGGGACTGGAATTGAAGCCTAATCTCAAACAGCAGAGTCTGGATGTCCTTTCCCTGAGCAAGCCACCTCACCCACACGTCTCCCCTCCCACCCTGTCTCTCTGGAACTCATACTTGTGCTCAATCTCTACTCAAGGCATTCATCTACCCTCAGCCCTCAAGGAAGCTTGGCTCCATCCTGGAGGACACTGTCTTCTCACTGCCCTCTCCTCAGGAGGCTTTCCTTTCTTCTCAACCCCATACACCTCGGGGTAGGAGCTGGACAGTGTGCCTCCCCCAGGGCTGTTCTCCTGTCCCATATTCCTTCCTCCTTTAAAAAAAAAATCACTCTGGGAATTTTATGATTTCAGGTTTCACATTTATATATATATATATTTTTTTTAGAGAGCTGGGGGGGGGCCGGAGGGACAGAAGGAGAGGGAGAGAGAGGCTCTTAAGCAGGCTCCACACCTAGCATGGAGCCCCACACGGGGCTCAATCTCACAACCCTGAGATCATGACCTGAGCAGAAATTGAGTCGGATGCTTAACCGACTGAGCCACCCAGGCACCCCTCACATTTAGATCTTTAAACCATTTTGAGTTTATTTTTGTCAGTGCTGTAAGAAAGTGGTCCAATTTGGGCGCCTGGGTGGCTCAGTTGGTTAAGCGACTGCCTTCGGCTCAGGTCATGATCCTGGAGTCCCTGGATCGAGTCCCGCATCGGGCTCCCT